TTTCTTTTGTTTTGAAAAAAATAAAAAATATCAGAACCTATTGATTAGCAAAAACTAACAATTGGTTCCAACAGGAAATGATTTCCTTCAGCCAGCTAATAATAACAATGATAATAAAGTTGGAAGGGACCTTGGAGGTCATCTAGTCCAACCCCCTGCTCAGGCAGGAAACCCTACACCATTTCGGACAAATGGCTGTCCAGTCTCTTCTTAAAAACTTCCAGTGTTGGAGCATTTATTGCTTCTGGAGGCAGGTTGTTCCATTGGTTAATTGTTCTCACTGTCAGGAAATTCCTCCTTAGTTCGAGGTTGCTTCTCTCCTTGATTAGTTTCCATCCGTTGCTTCTTGTCCTGCCTGCAGGTGCTTTGGAGAATAGCTTGACTGCCTCTTCTTTGGGGCAGCCCCTGAGATATTGGGACACGGCTATCATGTCCCCCCTCATCCTTCTCTTCATTAAACTAGACATACCCAATTCCAGCAGCTGTTCCTTATATGTTTTAGCCTCCAGACCTCTAAAGTTGTTCCTTTTGTTTGGATTCTGTTCAACTGTTTACTCTTAGGCGTCCTTGGTGTTCTCTGAGCTGGGTTGTTGTTTTGCAGATGCTTCACTACCCAAACTAGGTTAACATCAGTGTTAGCAAAGTACTGATGATGTTAACTAGTTTGGTAAACACCCAGCTCAGGGAGCACCAGGGACCTTTCATATTAACCCTGAGCTACATTCTCCTTTATCGGTGTTTACTCTTAATTAAAGTAAGTCAGATCAAGGAGTTATTCTGCCTGGAAAACGCTCTTCCTAGATTTCAGAAGAATGGGATAATTCTTGCCTGAACCGATTGTAGATGACGGAGCCTTCATCAAACTCGTATCCAGAATTCAGCAGCTCCAGAGCAATGACCGAGGCATCTCCAAAAGTGGGAGGCTTCCTTCCAACTTCTTTAAAGTTCAAGAGAAAATTATTTCCATGTGTCCTAAAATTAAGAGTAAGGTTGTTATGCAACACATTCCAAGTTGCATCAGGTTCTAAATCCAGGTTCTAAGAAACACCCAGAAATTTCAGTTGATCTCTGATCCAACAACTAGACCAGGGGTCTTCAAACTGGGCCCTTTTATGACTTGTGGACTTCAACTTCCTGGCTCAGGAATTCTGGGAGTTGAAGTCCATAAGTCATAAAAGGGCCAAGGTTGAAGACTCCTGAACTAAACTCAGCATATAGATCAGGGGTCTTCAATCTTCGCCCTTTGATGACTTGTGGACTTCAATTCCCAGAATTCCTCAGCCAGAGTGCCTGGCTGAGGAATTCTGAGAGTTGAAGTCCACAAGTCATCAAAGGGCCAAGTTTGAAGACCCCTGACATAGATAGTCCTTGACATAAAAGCCTCTAACGGAGCCTGCACATTATGGTTGAATGTGACAACAGATCAGCCACGTAGCCAACCCAATTCTATGACCTTTTCTTATGGCAGTTGTTAAGCGAATCACCACACTTAAGCCAATCTGCGCTTGTGAAGTGAACAACACAGTCGTTAAGCAACGCAATGGTTTGCTGTGGGCCTGGTTTGTGCCAGTTTTCGGCAAAACCATCGTAAAACACAGAGTGCCACAACTGTGAGTGTGAAACACAGCCACAGGTCACTTTTCTCAGTGCTGTTGTAACTTCAAATGGTCACTAAATGAATGGTCGTTAAGTCAGGGACAACTTCAGATTGTTGAGCCCCCAGAAGAGCAGGTTACCTTTGAAGGATGCCTCTGAGCTTGTCGCCAATCCCAACCACCATGACCTCTTTCCCTGAACCCGTCAGGTTGGAGAACTGGCTCTTGATATGTTTGGCCACAGAGGTGTGGATGGCCCCACACAAGCCACGATCCGAAGACACTCCAATAAGGAGATGCTTTTTCTTGTCCTCAGGGGGTTTGATGTCCACTTTTTCGTAGAGAGCTGCAAAAAAAAAAAAAAAAAAAAAAAAAAAGTGAGAGAGAGAGAGAGATGTGGCCCCTAACAATGAGTAACTATCAAAAGACCCAGGGATCAGGTACAATGGAGGAAAATCCCTTACCCAACGCCCCCACGCCGTAAACTCTGGCAGGTTTTAATTCTCTCTCCGCCCTGGAATATTTTGCAGCAGCAACCATCTTCATGGATTTAGTGATTTTCTGGATATTCTTGATAGACTTCAAACGTCGGGTAACTGAATGGATTAGAGGGCATGAACTGAGGTAGGATTTCAAGTAGACAAAGAAAATGGCAGAATAAAACCAAAAGTACTATGTTTTTTATATACTGCTATATAGAGAGTACTAGATTCTTAAATGGAACTATAAAAAGAAGATACAGTCATGATTTCAGACTATTTAGGTAAGGGGTCTTCAAACGTGGCCCTTTTATGACTTGTGGACTTCAACTCCCAGAATTCCTCAACCAGGCACGCTGGCTGAGGAATTCTGGGAGCTGAAGTCCATAAGTCAAGGGATCTTCAAACTTGGCCCTTTTATGACTAGTGGACTTCAACTCCCAGAATTCCTCAACCAGGCACGCTGGCTGAGGAATTCTGGGAGCTGAAGTCCATAAGTCAAGGGATCTTCCAACCTGGCCCTTTTATGACTTGTGGACTTCAACTCCCAGAATTCCTCAGCCAGTGTGCCTGGCTGAGGAATTCTGGGAGTTGAAGTCCACAAGTCATAAAAAGGCCAAGTTTGAAGACCCCTGGTTTAGGCTACTATCTCAGGCCAATAAATACAACATAAAACACTTACTGTCTTTCAGAGTCGCCATGTTCCTAACTTGGGTCCTGAAAAAAATAAACACATATTTGCAATATTTCATAAATCGAATGTGCCTCGTTCGGTTGCTAGATTAACAAATATATAGAACAGCTGCATTTTCTAAAGAATGCTTATATAATGCTTGTAATTGAACTCAGGCTCACTTTTCAATAAGTGCACTAAAATTCAAGATACAAACCTGACAATCTAAGGCTGCAAAATAAAAAAAGGAAAACATGCTTTTTGCGATTGTCTCCTAAATATTCCATCAGAAGAGATCAAGTTGTGCGCTTTTCCTCAACATTGTTTTTTTATACCTTTTTTTTTTTTTTTTTTTAATGGAAAATACCACCCATTTTAGGCCACCTTAACCACCCAGAAAACCATCAAGGGTGGCTGGCCATCATTAAAAAATCTCCAGTTTTTGCACTATGCAATACAGTTCAGCAGTTTGATCAAAAAAATAAAAAAGATGAAAGCTCTCTACGTAACAACAAGGTGTCTTTTACGTTACTTCCCATGCCTGCACCAAGAAAAAATAAAACCTTGGGGAATATGGCTAAAAGGAAAAAAAATATGTCCTCTCTCTTTTGTTAAAGTTTTCAGAACCAAAATGTTCTTGCATTTAAATTAGATTTGAGTAAAGAATATGCTGGCTTCATCCCACAAGAGAAACAAATGCTTTGATTCCTGAAGGGATTCAATTTTTTGCTGACAGAACTGAATCATAAACTGGTTTAGGGGCCAGGTTTGTGGTTTTTTTTCTCATTGCCTTCTCATTTTTACTCTCAGCTGCCCAGAGTTGTGTTCTGAAGATGGACAACTCTTTCAAATAAAATAATTCAACTGGGGGTGGGAGGGCAGGAGAAAGAAGAAATGAAAATGCTTGGGGGGGGGTGTAAGGTGTCAGTTTGCAGAAACTGCCCAGGCTCCCGCAAACGCATCTCCAGAAACTCTGCAAAAAAATGCAATTCAATCTATTTTCCAGGCAGGCCACATAATAATCTCTGCACTTCAGCCACAGGCAGGCAGAATTATTTTATTTGTGGAATTAAAAAAAAAACCTGAACAAGCAAAAAAGGAAATTAAAACGTGACAGGGGCGATGGGCATGTTAGGGCACGCCCCCTCCTTAGGGACCTCTTAAACACGGAATGTGATTAGAATTAAAAGTTAGAAATTAAACCTTTGTGAAAGTCACTGGCTGAGACAACTGAATCAGGTAAGATCAGATTCCCAGTGAATGCAAGTAATTATAATTATAATTGATAATGATAATAATAGATCAGATTCCCAGTGAATGCAAAATAACAACAGCAACGACATAATCCCCACCCAAGTAACTTTTATAACTGAGCCTTAGGTAGGAGGGCACAGATTCCCTAGAGTTCCCATGCTGCTGGACTCCAGCACCCATCAGCCACTGTCCCCAAGGTGGCGGGACTTGGGCCACATGGGAAAGAAATCCCAGGGAAACTCAAAGCAGCTTTCCACGCCTGCCAGTCTGACTGCCCCCCCCCCCGAGGCTTGTCTGTAATGACATAGGGTCTCCTGCCTAAGCAGGGGGTTGGACTAGATGACCTCCAAGGTCCCCTCCAGCTCTATTCTGACTTAGGGAGGCGAGAGCGCCTCTGAGCACGTGCAGAAACCCGCCCGGCTCACCTTCCCCCGAAGTACCACCGCGGCTGGGCGTGGGCAGCGACAATAACAGCAGCAGCGCCGCCGCCGATCAAACTCCTTCCCGCCGCCTCGTCCCACTGGCCGTCGCCGGCTGCAGCCGCTGCTGAAGGTCAGGGCGCCCGTACCGCGCATGCGTCGCGCTTCCTCGCCTGAACCGGGCGCAGGAAGTGAGAGAAACAGCAGTGACGGCTTCCGGGTGAAGCGCCCCCACTCTCTCTCTCGCTCTCTCACATCCTCTAATTCCTCTCTATGATTTCTCGGACACTGAGCTGGCCGGCTAGAGCGGGCAGCACTGCGGCGGTCCTCCAAAGAGAACTGACGTCACGAAGCTGACGTGCTAGAGCGACCTCTCACTTGGATGATGTGTAGACATAATAAAGGAAAAAATAATTTAAATTATTAATTGAGGTTTCAATGCCCGGGACAGACTTTACAGCATCGCACTGTAACTTCCGTGATTCCTGGTCCTGGGGGTGGGGGGAAATTCACCAGCAGAGCTATAAAAGGGCGAAAACCTTCCTCAACTCAATGATGATGATTTCCTGTCACATCACTTCCGTTTCCGGTCAGCCCTTCCGCCTCCTCCGCCGAGAGTCCGGAAGTGAGGGTCGCAGTCGCCTGTTGCTTTGTGGCCCCGCTGCTTCGCCTCGCTCGTCATGGGGAAGACGGACTTCCTGAGCCCCAAGGCCATCGCCAACCGCATCAAGTCGAAGGGGCTGCAGAAGCTGCGCTGGTATTGCCAGATGTGCCAGAAGCAGTGCCGGGACGAGGTAAAGGGAGAGCCTCCAGGGGCAGGGGCAGTGTATCTGGGCGCACGGAAAGAAGCCCTATCCTCGGATGCCCTTTTCCGTCCTCAGCCACGAATCTCTCGCGGATTTAGGTTGGCTCTTCTCATGTCTTATGGTGATTTTGTTCCACCATAAGAGTAGAGTAGGAAGTAGAGTAGAGTAGAGTAGAATAGAAAATAGGGAATAGAATAGAACAGAAAAGAGTAAAATAGAATAGAATAGAAAATACGGAATAGAGTAGAGTAGAATAGAATAGAATAGAATAAGAATAGAATAGAATAGAATAGAATAGAATAGAATAGAAGTCTTCAAACTTGGCCCTTTTATGACTTGTGCACTTCAACTCCCAGAATTCCTTAGCCAGGCATGCTGGCTGAGGAATTCTGGGAGTCCACAAGTCATAAAGGGCCAAGTTTGAAGACCCCTGGAATAGAGGATAAGGAATAGGATAGGATATAATAGGATAGGAAAGTGGTGGCGAACCTATGGCACGGGTGCCAGAGGCGGCACTCAGAGCCCTCTCCTTGGGCACCCGCGCCGTCGCCCCAGCCCCGCCTCAATGGCCCCCTCCTCACCAGCAGCCCCAATGGCCCCCTCCTCACCAGCAGCCCCCCCCCAGAGGAGATTCGCTCCCAAGCGCGGCCTGCACAGAGCAGCGCAGCCAACGATATGGCGACCGGGCAGCGGGGACAAGACTCCGCTTTCCCCCCAATGGCCCCCTCCTCACCAGCAGCCCCCCCAGAGGAGATTCGCTCCCAAGCGCGGCCTGCACAGAGCAGCGCAGCCAATGATATGGCGACCGGGCAGCGGGGACAAGACTCCGCTTTCCCCCCAATGGCCCCCTCCTCACCAGCAGCCCCCCCAGAGGAGATTCGCTCCCAAGCGCGGCCTGCACAGAGCAGCGCAGCCAACGATATGGCGACCAGGCAGCGGGGACAAGACTCCGCTTTCGTGCCCCATCACATACAGATGATGCTGTGGAGTGCGGACAGAGGGCATGGCTGCCATGGGGCTGCCTGGGCGATCTGCAGCAAGCCATGGAGATGGTGGTGGGCGGATGGGCGGGGGTGGGGGCAGAGTGGGGCCAGTTTTTGGGCATTCGGTCTCTAAAAGGTTCGCCATCACTGGGATAGGAGAATAGAATAGAATAGAATAGAATAGAATAGAATAGAATAGAATAGAATGTAGGATAAAGAATAATAGAATAGGATAGAATATAGGATAAGGAATGGGAGAAGAATAGTAGAATATAGGATAAAGAGTAGTAGAATAGAATATAGGATAAGGAATGGGAGAAGAATAGAATAGAATATAGGATAAGGGTTAGGACAGGATAGGATAATAGAATAGAATATAGGATAGGACAGAATAATAGAATAGAATAGGGAATGAAATATAATAATAGAATAGAACACAACACAACTGGAAGGGATCTTGGAGGTCATCTAGTCCAACCCCCTGCTCACGCAAGAGACCCTGTACCATTTCAGACAAAGGGCTGTCCAGTCTCTTCTTGAAATCTTCCACTGATGAAACAGGTTTGGTTTTCCAGGTTTCATCACTGTGCTTCTTCAACTGAGTCCTGGGCAATATATAATATGAAGCCTTTTTGCGTTCTCAGCCAGCCTTCTGTGAGAGTGGGCTCCTTTTCATTAGTCTTGTATTAAACCACCTTTTTTCAAACTTGGCCACTTTAAGATGAATGGACTTCAATACCCAGAGTTGCTGTCTTGGAAATTCTGGGAGTTTGGAAGTCCACCCATTTTAAAGTGGTCAAGTTTGAAAAAAAAAAAAAGATCCTGTTAGACCAAAGACTCCCCATCAGTTTAAGACTGATGATAAATCAACCCCCGAAAGGGCACCAGGCACGTATGCCTGAATTCTTTCATTTTCTGGGATTGTACAGTGCAGCGGCCAGTAAGCCCAGCTTCATGGTGTGACTTTGTACCATATTCTAGGACACAAAACACTTAATTTAGTTTATTGGCTGAGTAGTGGTGTTAGGATTTTAGCCGACGAAGCTAAATGTTTTATGCAAACAAGGACAAATGGCTGGATTGAATTTAAGTCAGGCTGGTTTATTTATTTAGCCTAGCTGACTTCAGAAAGCAACCAAATCTAATACCTGGACATTGTTAAAGATTGCTACTTCTAGGATTGCTGCCACTTTGGGGGGTAAATAACTTGTTCTTTTGGTAGCTTCTCATCAGCTGAGCAAAGAAACTCTCTGGTTTCTTCACCATTTTATCTCCATGTTTTTTAAAATGCTTTAGCTCTCATGATACCTGTTCAAGGGTTGCTGGGGAAATTTTGACTTCATTTCGGTGTCTTTCAAATGCAGCATCCTTGTCTTGTTTTTTCCAGAATGGCTTTAAATGTCACTGCATGTCCGAATCTCACCAGCGACAACTGCTCCTTGCATCTGAAAACCCTCAGCAATTCATGGATTATTTTTCAGAGTGAGTTTGGCCAATAACTTCACATTGCATTTTATTGTCTGCCTCCGCTGAAATTTGTGCAGCATCGCGGCTGCAGTTGGTATGCGAAAGTGGCTGGTAGACTTGGGGTTATTTCTTTAGACAAATTTTAGAATTTTCTCATCTTGTAGGGAGTGGGAGCTTTCAATTAAGCTTAGCAAAGGCTTAATTGTTTGAAGACTTAATTCATGGTCTATCAAGCTATCCTCCATTTTGGGGGATGCGGAGAGTGTCATCTTTCTATTCTGACTGACAAGGTTTCTGTGTTACTCAAAGGCTGTGATATAAATTGAATTGAACGCAGTTAGTGTTGCAGATAAAAACTGTCTCTTTCATATTTCTCTAGGGAATTCCGGAATGATTTCCTAGAACTTCTCCGGAGAAGATTTGGTAAATCGGTTTATTTGTTTGTTTAAATTAGATTTGGAAACTAGCAATAGCATTTAGGCTTGTGTATTGCCCCTTTCTCCCCCCCTCCCAGCGCTTTACAGCACATTTCTGGGCAGTTTACAATATAGAAGCATTATTTGCATATTGCCCCCGACAATCCAGATGCTCATTTTACCGACCTCGGAAGGATGGAAGACTGAATCCACCTTGAGGATCAAACTCCTGGCAGTGGGCAGAGTTTGCCTGCAATACTGCACTTTAACCACCATGCCACCAGTGCCTGATTCCCAGAACAAACTGAGTAGTTAAGGATAAAACCAAAGAAAAAAGCTCGAGCAATTAAAATCATGAGGGGGCCCTTGGTGCTCTCTGAGCTTGCTTGTTTTCTTGCAGACGTTTCATTACCCAACTGGGTAACATCATCAGTGCTAGAAGGGAATGGGGTTGGGGGAAGGAAGAGGAGAACTATGGGATTCTTGGTGTTCTCTGAGCTTGCTTGCTTTTTTGCAGATGTTTCATTACCCTAACTAGGTGATATCATCAGTGCTAATCAGTGCTAGCACTGATGATGTTACCTAGTTCGGGCAATGAAACGTCTGCAAGAAAACAGGCAAGCTCAGAGAGCACTCAGGACCCCCCCCATTTCAACCTTGAGCTACAAATATTCACCTTCATTAATAAAAATCATGTACATCCAGAAGAGGAAAACAATTAAACATAGCCAACCGCCCCCCCCCAAAAGTCACAGACTTGGCATCCACCCAAATCCCGGGCATGGAAGCAGAGCCACATTTTAAGAACTTTGGAACAATTGTAGGGTGGACACCATAGCAATTTTTTTGGGGGGGAAATGCTATTCCACAATGGAAGAGCTGCAATGAAATCATGCTTCTTTAGTTCAGTTGGAAGCTTCTGATTAAGAGTGTGTGTGGTTTTTTTTTTTTTTCTCCTCCCAGGAACAAAGAGAGTCCACAACAATATAGTGTATAATGAATATATTAGTCATCGGGAACACATCCATATGAACGCGACCCAGTGGGAAACTCTGACGGATTTTACAAAGTGGCTTGGGAGAGAAGGTAAGGCCCCCTCCTGGGAATTGCTGGGATGCTTGAGGCAGTTGTGCCAGTTGTTGCTAAACAGAAGACATTGCCGATAAAACAAGTTAACTGTCAACACTGCTAACATCAGATGTTTTTGCATTGAGAACAGATAGAGATGCAGCCATTTCTTCTTTTTGTTAGATGATGCTGGGGAGGGGGGAGGAATGTGCATGAGAGTCTAGCTCAGTGGTTCTCAACCTTTGGGTCGCAACCCCATTTGGGGTCGAACGACCATTTTACGGGGGTCGCCAAACAACGCGATCCGCCATTTTCCCCCCTCGGGGCGGCGCCGCGCAAGGGCGCCACCACACATAGGCGACGCCGCACACGTCCTTATGATCGGGGGTCGCCGTATAAAAAGGTTGAGAACCACTGTTCTAGCTAGACATCATAATACTGAAACTAGTGTGAGAACCAAGGTTATTGAAATAAGAGATGATAAAGAATTGGCTGGCTGGAGAGCTGGAGGGGAAGCCCATGTTTCAAGCTAATTGGGGAATGTGATTTATGACTGTTAACTGGAGGAGGGAATTGTGCTTTGATACTATGTGCTCAGGGGAGGGGAATCCAGTTTTTGGCTTTGATTGTGTAAGTGCCGATGCTATGCTGCTTTCTTTAAGGTAAACAATGCCTCAAAGTTCTTTGAAAAGTTTCATCTGTCAGAACCATGACATTAACCTTATCATAATGAGGTTAACGGAAGGGTATCTTTACAGGGAGGCTTCCAATTTCGGGGTGTAATTCTATAACTCCCTTATTTCTCCCAGAAATGAAGGCTTGTAACCATGGCAATATGCTTTTTTAAGGCCTCTGCAAAGTCGACGAAACACCCAAAGGCTGGTACATCCAGTACATCGACCGAGACCCAGAGACAATTCGTAGGCAGCTGGAGCAGGAGAAAAAGAAAAAACAGGACATGGACGATGAAGAGAAAACGGCGAGATTCATCGAACAGCAAGTCAGGAGGGGCCTGGAGGGAAAAGATCAGGTGAGGCAACATCTTAATGCAAGGGTAGGCAACCTTGGCTCTTTTATGACTGGTGGACTTCAACTCCCAGAATTCCTGAGCCAGCCATGCTGAGGGGAAAGCAAGAGGTTTCCAAGCTGAGCCACGCTGGCTCAGGAATTCTGGGAGTTGTAGTCCACGAGTCATAAAAGGGCCAAGGTTGCCCACCCCTGTCTTAATGTCTCAGAAACCAACGAGAAAAAGAAACGGCCATTTTGATATCCCTTAGGCCCGTGTTCGAGAAATGTAGCACAGGTAATCCTCGGCTTGCAACCACAATAAACCCCCCCCCCATTTTTTGTTCCTAAGCAAGGCGGTTATCTACGACTTTGCTTGCCACAGTTGTTAAGGGAATCACCACAATTAGTAACACGGTGGTTAAGTGAACCTGGCTTGCCCATTGACTTTGCTTGTCAGAAGGTCATAGAAGAGGATCGCGTGACCCCGAGGGACACTGCAACTGTCATAAGTACATGTCAGTTGCCAAGCATTCTGAATTTGGATCACGTGACCCTGGGGATGCTGCAACAGTCGGTGTGAAAAACGGTCCTAAGTCACTTTTTTTCCACGCTGTTGTAACTTTGAGCACACATTAAACAAATGGTTATAAGATGAGGACAACCTGCATTATGTGGATGAGAGAAAGAGGATTAGGAAGTGGATCATCAAATAAGATTAATAGCTTAATCTGTCCACCAGCTGCTGCTTTCTACAATTGATTTTTTTGTGTTTGTCCCCCTGCTATAAGTCAGATCCTAGACTGCCCCATGACCCCTAGATGTATTCCCAAGCGCATTTTGTATACCAAACTTTGCTTAAATTTCTTCCTGATTGCAACAAAGCCAACTCTAACTTTATGATAGGATGTGTGCTTTCTTGCTGGGTTCACAAATCCTTAGCTTAGATGATTCTTTTCTATCATTGCAGGAAGAGCCGATCTTCACAGAACTGAACAGAGAAAATGAGGAGGAGAAAGGTAAGTTATTAGGTGTGGATAATCTACTATAAGATTCACAGATTGTGGAGAATTAAAAATTCAAATCCTAAACCAGGACCGCAAAATTATTAAGTTAATATTAAAGAATATAGGCAGTTCCAAGCAGGCTGGGTTTTTTTTGTAAAATTAGGCTGTCCAGGTCTGATAATTTCATATTTCTTTCAGATATTGCTCTGAGGGCTTTGGTCACGATCGTTGTAACAACAGATATTTTTTCCCATAAATATTCAACTTTACTCTGCATGTCCCAATGCTTTAAAATGTTCTCCCTCAATCCTACATTACCCGGTTCACAGCATCAGCAAACTAGACTTTCTTCTTTTCAATAACTATTATATCAATAATTATTATATCAAACTCTCTTTTATTTGGATCCTAAAGTCCCCTAAAATCTTAATCTACTCGTTTTCCAAAACCTTCTAAACTTGATGGCCCCCGTAGTTTTTCCAAACCTCTGGGAAAGTTTCCAGTGAATAATTCTGGCAACTCGGTCCTGATGCTGCTTGTAATCAGTTTCTGATTATTATTATTTTTCACAGTAATCCATTAGTAAATTATTATTTTATTTAAATTTGTTTGGCTGCCCACTTCCAGTGGAGTCTCTGTGCTGTACAAACCGAGGAAAAAATTAAAAACGGCTAAAAACATGGACTCAGACAGACAGCCCAGATTAAAATAATCTTACAAAGAAGAAAATTGACAAAAGGAAACACTGAGTTCTAGTCCTGCCTTAGGCACGAAGACCAGCTGGGGGGACATTGGATCAATCACCAGGAGACAGTGAGTTCTAGTTCCACCTTAGGCGTGAAAACTGGTTGGATGACTTTAGGCCAATCATTAAGAGACAGCGAGTTCTAGTTCCACCTTAGGCATGAAAGCTGGTTGGATGACTTTAGGCCTGTCACCAGGAGACAGCGAGTTCTAGTTCCACCTTAGGCGTGAAAGCTGGTTAGATGACTTTAGACCTGTCACCAGGAGACAGTGAGTTCTAGTTCCACCTTAGGCGTGAAAGCTGGTTGGATGACTTTAGGCCTGTCACCAGGAGACAGCGAGTTCTAGTTCCACCTTAGGCGTGAAAGCTGGTTAGATGACTTTAGGCTTGTCACCAGGAGACAGTGAGTTCTAGTTCCACCTTAGGCGTGAAAGCTGGTTGGATGACTTTAGGCCGATCACTAGGAGACAGTGAGTTCTAGTTCCACCTTAGGCGTGAAAGCTGGTTGGATGACTTTAGGCTGATCACCAGGAGACAGTGAGTTCTAGTTTCACCTTAGGCGTGAAAGCTGGTTGGATGACTTTAGGCTGATCACCAGGAGACAGCGAGTTCTAGTTCCACCTTAGGCATGAACACCAGCTGGATGGCCAGTCCGTCTCTCTCAGCCCAACCTACCTCACATGGTTATTGTAGTGGGGAAAACAAGAGGAGAAAAGAGTATTAGGTATGTTGTCTGTCTTATCTATAAAAATATTAAAGGCAGAATAAAAAAAAATCGAAAATAAATATCAACTCCAGACCTGGGATATTGAGACGGGCAATCCTATATTTGTTAGAATTTATGGGGAAAGAAGAATTCTCAGGGCAGGTGCACAAAAACTTTCTCCTGTGATTTATATACTTATTACTTTTTTCTCCCCTCTTCTGCCACAATCTGTTCTCTCCCCTGCTGTTTCATGGTCTAAGACGGGTAGGCAACCTTGGCTCTTTTATGACTCGTGGACTTCAATTCCCAGAATTCCTGAGCCAGCCATGCTGAGGGGAAAGGGAGAGGTTTCCATGCTGAGCCAGGTTGGGTCAGGAATTCTGGGAATTGAAGTCCACAAGTCATGAGGGGCCATAGTTCCCCCATGCTGGCTCAGGAATTCTGGGAGTTGAAGTCCACGAGTCATAAAGCGGCCTAAGCCTATACCAGGGGTAGGCCACCTTGGCCCTTTTATGACTCGTGGACCTCAACTCCCAGAATTCCTGAGCCAGCCTGGCTCAGCATGGAAACCTCTCCCTTTCCCCCTCAGCATGGCTGGCTGAGGAATTCTGGGAGTTGAAGTCCACGAGTCATAGAAGAGCCAAGGTTGCCTACCCCTGGCCTAAGAAATACCTATTAAAACCTCCCTGATACATTGGAATCCACCCTACCGATCCTTTCATTCCTGTTGTTTATTTGTGGGAGTGGTTGGCAATGTGGCATTTGAATTTATGGTGGTGCATAAAAAAAATAAGAGTGATCTTTTCTCTTTGTTTTAGTGATCTTTAACCTGGGCAAAGGAGCCAGCACTTCAGCTGCTGCAGCACCACCCAAAGGGAGGTAAGTATTATCGTTGGCCAGCCAGATATTCAGGCTGGATGTGGCTTTTTTCTCCACTCCTTTCCAAGGACCTGGGACAGGCAGAAGTTGGTGCTTAATAACATTAAAGGTTGCAGGTGTTAATGTTGTAGGTGTTAAAGCAAGGAGATATTGGACAAAAGTTTACACTTGCCTAGAAAAAAATGTTAGAGAAGCACATAGACCAGGGGTAGGCAACCTTGGCTCTTTTATGACTTGTGGACTTCAACTCCCAGAATCCCTCAGCCAGCCATGCTGAGGGGAAAGGGAGAGGTTTCCATGCTGAGCCATGCTGGCTCAGGAATTCTGGGAGTTGAAGTCCATGAGTCATAAAACAGCCAAGGTTGCCTACCCCTGGTCTAGAGCAAGGGTAGGCAACCTTGGTTCTTTTATGACTGGTGGACTTCAATTCCCAGAATTCCTGAGCCAGCATGGCTGAATGGCCCTTTTTATGACTAGTGGACTTCAACTCCCAGAATTCCTGAGCCAGCATGGCTCAGCTTGGAAACCTCTCCCTTTCCCCTCAACATGGCTGGCTCAGGAATTTTGGGAGTTGAAGTCCAGGAGTCATAAAAGAGCCAAGGTTTCCCCACCCCTATCCTAAGTCCTCCTATTCTAAGCGGTGAGCCTCCTAGGCCAGGGGTAGGCAACCTTGGCTCTTTTATGACTGGTGGACTTCAACTCCCAGAATTCCTGAGCCAGCCATGCTTACGGGGAAAGGGAGGGGTTTCCAAGCTGAGCCATGCTGGCTGAGGAAATCTGGGAGTTGAAGTCCACGAGTCTTAAATTAGCCAAGGTTGAGGAGCCCTGATATAGGGCAGGGGTGGGGAACCTTGGCTCTTTTATGACTCATGGACTTCAACTCCCAGAATTCCTGAGCCAGCCATGCTGAGGGGAAAGGGAGAGGTTTCCAAGCTGAGCCATGTTGGCTCAGGAATTCTGGGAGCTGAAGTCCACCAGTCATGAAGGGGCCAAAGTTTCCCTCATGCTGGCTCAGGAATTCTGGGAGTTGAAGTCCAGGAGTCATCAAAGAGCCAAGGTTGCCTACCCCTGGACTCTGGAGATGCTGCAAGGGTTGTCAGTCTGAAAACCTGTCATAAATCACTTTTTTCAGTGCCGTTGTAGCCTTGGTCGCTAAACAAACTGTTGTAAATTGAGGACTATCTGTAAACCCTCATAGGGCTGGTGTGTTGCTTCTGGGAATTTCCTGTCCTTCCCTCCCTCCCTCCCCCTCCCCCCCCATGAGCAACAGGGCAAGCCAAACATTTGACGCTCATCTGAATCCAATCAAAACTCAGTGTTATTCTTGGGACTCGGGAAGGAAATCTCAACCCCTTTTCCATAGTAGGGGACTAAGGAAAATCACACCTTCGCATCTGGACAGACTCCACAACAAGGGTATTAATACATGTCTCTTTTCTCCAGCTTGCTTGCCCCCAGCGTGCTGAAGCCCTCGGGAGCGCTGCGGAAAGAAACCCCTCCAATTTCAAAGCAGACTAAGGAGAAAAAGAAGAGAAAAAACGCCCTCGACGAGATCATGCAGGTGTGGTGGAGACCCAGTTACTGACGCATTCTGCTTGGTGATTATTATAAGCAGGAGCAATACTGAAAGTGGGCAGGGGACAACCAGAGGACATCTGTGGGGTCCTTGGTGCTGTCTGAGCTTGGTTGATTTCTTGCAGACCTTTCATGGCCCAACTAGGTAACATCATCCATGTTAGAGGGGAGTGGGTTTGTGGAGAGGAAGAGGACATCTGTGGGGTCCTTGGTGCTCTCTGAGCTTGGTTGTTTTCTTGCAGACATTTCATGACCCAACTAGGTAACATCATCAGCGCTAGCAAGAAACGTGTCTGAGCACTCAGGGCTCCACAGTTCAACATTGAACTAAAAATATTCTATCTTTTCAGGTTTTGCCAATGTGCCCATGCGAGGCAACGAAGATTGGTGATAATATTTGAGGGGTGGTGGTGTTTTGTTTATAGGAAAATGGCAGAGATCAAAATCAAGGGGATCATAAAACCTAACTCCTAGTTTAGCTGTTCACTAGATCATTGCCAACTAGTTAGTAATCCTTTGATCTCCTACATCGGTCAGATCTCATCTTGTATCCAGTTCTGGGCCTCTTCTTGAAGGATGGTTCACAGACTGTTGCTGCGTCCCAAGGTCATGTGATCACTTTTTACAACCTTAGCAAACTAAGAATTCCACCATCTAGTTAATACGAGGATCTCTTTTTTTTTTTCAAATTTTATTTATAATACAGTTAAAAACAAACAAACATTGGATTTAACGTGACATTCCAGTATATACATTCTTATCAGATTATTCCACTTTTTACAATCAATTTTTCATCTCTACATATATATAAAACTAAGTTTTATATACAATTCTTGTTCTAAAATAACATATATTTCTATCTTAACATTCATCTTTAATCCCGACTGTCCTCTTCGAATTCCCCCAGCGGTAAAATTTATCCCAGGTTTCATAATAAACTGATCCACATTTGTCTTGTAATATCATTGTGAGCCTGTCCATTTCCACACACGCTAATATTTTATGTATTAACTCTTCCTCTGTGGGGATTTCCTTGCTCTTCCATTTTTGCGCAAAAGCAAGCCTACCTGCAGTTGGGAGGTGTAGCAGCAGGTAGATTGTTCCCTTGTTGTATTTTTCTGTCGTTATTCCCAACAAAAAGGGTTCAGGTTTTAACTCTAAGTCCAGTGTTAATATATCCCTCAACCAGTTTTGTGTCCTGTTCCAATACTCACGAGTCTTTGGGCATTCCCACCACATACAGTAAGTTAATACGAGGATCTCTTATCGTTAAGAATATGCTCTCCGTATTCCAGTTGCTTCTGATTTTCTGGAAGTCACAAAGCCATTCTTCAAAAGTTTTTTAGTATGGTAGGGTATTTTTCTGGATATGATCTCTAGTTGATCTCACCTGCGAGGCCAAAATGAATAATATATGTATTTTTTTTTCCTTCTTTTACTTCTCCTAGTTTGAAGAAGAGAAGAAAAAGACTGCCCGACTGGACTACTGGTTGCAACCTGTGAGTATCCAAGTGATGGTGTGGAATCTGTTGTGATGTAGCTTCGGGGAATAAGTGGGTAGATTTTCACATATCCCTTTGAACATTTATAGTGGTCTCTTATCTTGTGTACAAGATCAAGGGTTTTGTGGGGTTTTTTTTTCCTTTTGAAAAAGTTTTTTTTCCTGAAGACATTTCACTTCTCATCTAAGAAGCTTCATCAGTTCTGGATGGATGGTGGGGTGGGTGGGGATGGAAGATATTAGTTATATCAATAACAACAGCAAAATCCCTGTTTTTTTGGAAAGCTACGAAATTAAGGGAAATGTATTTATGTGTGTGTGTGTGTGTGTGTGTGTGTGTGTGTGTGTGTGTTCTCTCCATCTCCATTACAATTCATTTCCGGGATAAATCTTACTGTTACACTCAATTTCACCATATTGCAGAAAGAATTAACTGCAGAAAAGAGGTGAGATCTACTTGCCTGTCGTTAACTTTGCTCTCTTTTCTAGGAAATTGTGGTCAAAATCATAACCAAGAAACTCGGCGAGAAATACTACAAAAGAAAAGCCATTGTTAAGGTGAGTAGAGCGTCTTTTATCTGTCTTCCAAAAATATTGGTCATAGAGAGGGGCAAGTGTGGGTTAATAATAATAATAATAATGTTGGAAGGGACCTTGGAGGTCATCAATCCAACCCCCTGCTCAGGCAGGAAACCCTATACCTTTTCGGACAAATGGCTGCCCAGTCTCTTCTTAAAAACTTCCAGTGTTGGAGCATTCCCCGCTTCTGGAGGCAGGTCGTTCCACTGGTTGGAACAGGTGTAAATAAAAATGTTGCAGGGGAGGATGGGTGGAATAATAGAAAACAGGTAGTCCTCGATTTACGACGATTCCTTTCGTAACCGTTCGGACGGCACTGAAAAAAGTGACTTATGACCATTCCCCCCAGGGTCATGTGATCCAAATTCAAACGCTTGTCAACTGACTCGTACTTAGGACGATCGCAGCGTCCTGGGGGGGTCATGGGATCCCCTTTTGTGACCATCTGACAAGCAAAGTACATGGGGGGGAAGCTGGGTTCACTTAACAACGGTGTTACTAACTTAACAACTGCAGTGATTCGGTTAACAACGGTGGCCAGAAAAGCCGTAAAATGGGGCAAAACTCACTTAACAACTGTCTCACTTAGCAACAGCAATTTGGGGCTCAGTTGTGGTCGTAAGTCAAGGACTACCTGTAATAAGAGTTGGAAGGGACCTTGGAGGTCTTCTAGTCGAACCCCGTGCTCAGGCAAGAAACCCTATACCAAGGGTCTGCAACCTTGACAACTTTAAGACTTGTGGACTTCAGCTATGCTGGCTGAGGAATTCTGGGAGCTGAAGTTCTATGCTGGCTGAGGAATTCTGGGAGCTGAAGTCCACAAGTCTTAAAGTTGTCAAGGTTGCAGACCCCTGCCCTGTACCATTTCAGACAAACAGATGTCCAGTCTCTTCTTAAAAGCCTCCAGTGTTTTTGCTTCAAGGCCCCTTATGGAACCTCACTGTTCCTGCTAGCTAAGCATGCTGGGACTTGAAGTCCAAGAAAAGTGGTGAGGAACAGTTTCTTAACGCTAAATTATAACTCGATTGGAAGATGTGAAGGAGGGCTTAACGATAGACCACCTTGTTCTTGGATCGTGCAACCGTTCAATCAGTTAACCAGGGCTGGCAGGATCAAAAGATCCAGGCAACGTGAAAAGCCCAAACAACTGTCTTAGAGGTAGTCCTTGACTTACGACAAGTCTTTCCCTTATGGCCATTGCAGCGTCCCCATTTCACATGCTCAGACTTGGCATAAAAGCAATCAGAAGGTCTTTAGAACAGTGTGGCAGCGTTGCAGCGTCCTGTGATCGCCAATTTGCGATCTTCCCAAGCGGTGTGTCACAAGCCAAGTCAACGGGGGGAGTCGGCTTCAAGTAACAATTGCACAATTTGCTTAACGGCCGTGGTAATTCGCTTACCAGCCACAAGAGAAACGGTTGTAAAACGGGGTTTAACGGATTGAACAGCCACATACGTCCCTTAGCAACATACGCCTCCAGGCGAGATGGACAGCACACAAATCCGTTCGATAAAAATAAGTGAAATTGTGAGTCCCGAGTCAAGAACTATCTCTATAGCTGACCAGGATGGCCTCGTTCCCACAATGTCCAAACAGGTCAGGTGGCTTGTTGGTTTCGGGCAGGCGTTGTGCAATGTAAATAAACCACGGTTTCATGCGTTTTGTACAGTTAGACCTGAGACTTCTTTCTTGCCATTTAAGAATAATCAGTGACGAATTTTTTCCTTTTAACCATTGATGTAACAGGAGGTCATTGACAAATACACAGCAGTTGTAAAGTTGATCCATTCCGGAGATAAACTCAAACTTGACCAGACCCATCTGGAGACGGTGATCCCAGCCCTGGGTCAGTTTTGGGGCAAGATAATTCTTATTAAAGGTGGAGCCCTGTTTTTAAATGTATCTTCCCCTGGCTGTCTTTCACACTCTCATTTGGAGATCGTGGTTAAATAGAGCTTCTCATATTCTGGTTAGCTCATTAATTCATTTAGCAACCGTGTTACTAATTTGACAACTGTAGCCAGGGGTAGGCAACCTTGGCTCTTTTATGACTCGTGGACTTCAACTCCCAGAATTCCTGAGCCAGCATGGCTCAGCTTGGAAACCTCTCCCTTTCCCCTCAGCATGGCTGGCTCAGGGATTCTGGGAGTTGAAGTCCATGAGTCATAAAAGAGCCAAGGTTGCCTATCCCTGGCCTAGGCCTAGGCCGCTTTGTGATTCATGGACTTCAACTCCCAGAATTCCTGAGCCAGCATGGGGGAACTATGGCCCCCTCATGACTTGTGGACTTCAACTCCCAGAATTCCTGAGCCAGCGTGGCTCAGCATGGAAACCTTTCCCTTTCCCCTCAGCATGGCTGGCTCAGGAATTCTGGGAGTTGAAGTCTACGAATCATAAAAGAGCCAAGATTGCCTATCTCTGGCCTAGGCATAAGCCGCTGTCTGACTCGTGGACTTCAACTCTCAGAATTCCTGAGCCAGCATGAGGGAAACTTTGGCCCCTTCATGACTCATGGACTTCAACTCCCAGAATTCCTGAGCCGGCAGGGCTCAGCTTGGAAATCTCCCTTTCCCCTCAGCATGCCTGGCTCAGGAATTCTGGGAGTTGAAGTCCACAAGTCATACAAGAGCCAAGGTTGCCTACCCCTGATTGCAGTGATTCACCTCACAACTGTGGCTGGAAAGGTCATAAAATGGGGGGAAACTCACTTAGCAACTGTCTCGCTTAGGAACTGAAATTTTGGGCTCCATTGTGGTCGTAAGTTGAGGACTATCTGTATTGCAACCCAAGGTTGTAAAACCATAAGCCACGGTATGCTACAAGCAGTTCTCAACTTACAACTGATCATTTAGCGATCGTTCAAAATCTGATCAAAAACCTGAAAGAGGGGACTTACAACCTGGATTTAAAATTCCGTCAGTTGGGCCCCCCTCCACGGTCACATGACCAACCAGCTCAGCAACAGGGCCACATTTAGGCCCATTGGTGACGTCCTGTGGTCACGTGACCACGGTGTGTGACAATTTTGCCGGAAACTGGCATTCTTGGTGTTCAGCAAAACTATCCACCGTGAACCATGGGTTTGCTTAACAACCGCTGCGTCCTGTTAGCAGCCATGGCAAAAAAAAAAAAGTCGTAAATATCAGGCCGCTCACATGAACTGATCCATTTTGCAACCGTTACGACATACGGCCGTCGTGGGCAGACTTTATTGCAGTGATGGCGAACCTTTTAGAGACCGAGTGCCCAAACTGCAACCCAAAACCCACTTATGTATTGTTGAGTGCTGGGTGGGTGTGGCCCATTGGGTGGGCGTGGCTGTAGTGGTAACGGTAGACTGGGTGTGACTAAAAAGTTCAATCAGTCAATACCAACTTTTCAAGATCTTTTATTTTCCCCGCGAGAAGTTGAAGTTGATTGATTGATTGAACTTTTTTTTTTGCACATGGCGGCCGAGGCCTTAAGCGAAAAGGTTTTATAAAACCCAGCTGAAGGCCTAGGACTGGGGTGATGGCCTGCGTGCCCACAGAGAGGGCTCTGCGGGCCACCTGTGGCATGCGTACCATAGGTTCGCCACCATGGCTTTATTGTGATTGTCAAGGACTACTTATATTGTGTCTGCATAATGGTAAGCTATGAAGGAGCCCTGGTGGTGCAGTGGCTAGAATGGAGTAGTGAAGGCTAAGTCTCAAAGTTGACTCAGCCTGCCATCCTTGCGAACTCGGTAAAATGAAGACCCAGATTTTGGGGGGCAACAGGCTCACTCTGTAAATCGCTTAGAGAGGGCTGTAAAGGCACTGTGAAGCAGTATATAAGTCTAAGGGCTGTTGCTAAGTCGGAAGGAAGGAAGGAAGGAAGGAAGGAAGGAAGGAAGGAAGGAAGGAAGGAAGGAAGGAAGGAAGGAAGGAAGGAAGGACCATCTTGGCGCAGTGGTTAGAACACGGTATTGCAGGCTAAATCTGCCCATTGTCAGCAGTTCAATCCTAACTGGTTCAAGGTTGACTCAGCCATCCATCCTTCCGAGGTCGGTGAAATGAGGACCCAGATTGTTGGGGGGGCAACAGGCTGACTCTGTAAACCGCTTAGAGAGGGCTGTAAAGGCACTGCGAAGTGGTATATAAGTCTATTGCTATGAAGTGTTGGGAATTACCTGAAAGGAAGATTCACATAGCATGTTTAAGCCAAAAATAAGATTGTTGTTGTTGTTAATTGCGAAGTCGTGTCCGACCCATTGCGGCCCCATGGACCACGTTCCTCCAGGTCTTCCTGTCCTCTACTATTTTCTGGAGTCCATTTAAGTTCACACCTACTGCTTCAGTGACTCCATCCAGCCATCTCATTCTCTGTCGTCCCCTTCTTCTATTGCCCTCAATCTTTCCCAGAATTAGGCCTTTCTCCAGTGAGTCCTTCCTTCTCATTAGGTGGCCAAAGTGGGGTTTATCCCAAACTGTGAAGCAAACCATTCCTGTTGGCACAGGGCGGTTTAATTATCACAGCCCCTAGGTTTTGCTCCTATGGTTGGGGAGTTCAAATCCCATTCCAACATCAAAGGCACACAGAAGATTGGCATTAATAAAATAGAGAAGGACTTAATTCATGGGTCCTAGAAATTGACTCCCAGCGTCTTGAGATCAAAGGAAGAAGGAGGGGAGATCACTCTCCAAGGAGTTAATAAATAGGAGAAAAGCACTGGATTAGACTGACAGATGTCAGGCTTGAGGTAGGTTAGATTCATCCCTGTTCATCTTGCAGGTAAAAAGGTGTTGATTTTAAATGGAGGCTACAGAGGGAACGAAGCCGTGTTACAGGGTATCAGCGAGAAGACATTTTCAGCCACAGTCCTCATTGAATCGGTAAGTGTGTCGTAGTAGTTGTGTAAGGTGTCGTTTGGAAGTGAGCCGCTGAAACCTGTCCTTCTTTATTTACGATCCCTGCAAGACATTTAGAAAATGGATTCATTCGGTGAACTCAGGGTTTTGTGTAAATGCACTTGAAATGTTAGTCCTTTGCCCCGGCTGAATCTTGCCTGGATTCTGTAAGTCTTCGACTTACAACAGTTAGTTTAGTGACCGTTCGAAGTTACAACATCACTGGAAAAAGTGACTTGCATCATTTTTCACGCTTGCGGCCGTTGTGGCCTCCTTGTGGTCACGTGATAAAAATTCCGGTGCTTGGCAAACAATTCATGGGATGGTCGCAGGGTCCCCGGGGGGGGGGTCACGTGATCCCCTTTTGCGACCTTCTAACAAGCAAAGTCAAGGGAGAAGCCAGATTCACTTAACAACGGGGTTACTCACTTAACAACTGGGCAAAACTCACTTAACAATTGTCTCTCTTATCAACCAAAATGTTGGAGTCAGCTGTGGTTGTAAGTCGAGGACCACATGTAAAAGTCAGCCATTGCTACCAAGCTTTCAGCTCTGAATGCCTCCTCAAGGGACTTAGACCCCGTCATATGTGTGGGGAGAGAAATGTGATTATGTGCCGTCAAGTCAGCATCCCCTCTTAACAACCACATAGATTGATTTAGAATAGAATAGAATAGAATAGAATAGAATAGAATAGAATAGAATAGAATAGAATAGAATAGAATAGAATAGAATAGAATAGAATGAATAGAATAGGAAATAGAATGGAATGGAATGGAATGGAATAGAATAGAATAGAAGAATAGAATAGAAAATGGAATAGAATATAGAATAGAATATAGAAATAGAATAGAATAGAATAGAATAGAAAATGGAATAGAATAGAAAATGGAATAGGATAGGATAGGATAGGATAGGATAGAAAATGGAATAGAATAGGATAGAAAATAGAATAGAATAGGATAGGATAGGATAGGATAGAAAATGGAATAGAATAGGGTAGGATAGAAAATGGAATAGAATAGAATGGAACAGAAAATGGAATAGAATAGAATATAGAATAGAATAGAATAAGGAATAGGGAATAGAAAATAGGGAATTGAATTGAATTGAATTGGAATAGAGCTAGAAGGGACCTTGGAGGTCTTCTAGTCCAGTCCCCTGCTCAGTTAGGAGGACCTGTCCTATACAGGTGATTGTCTCAGACAGGTGATTGTCCAGTCTCTTTTCTCCATGAGGATCTGGCCCCAACTTGGTCCTTCAGATCTTCCAGTAGTAGACCATCACAAATGTAACTTGAGTCCATTCACCTTGCTGTTTGGTCATTCTCCTCTTTCTTGTAGGAGAAGTAGTGGCAGAACCTGGGGATGGAGTGAAAAGGGAGATCAGCCTAGAATCCCTACTTAGCTACAAGTCAACTAGCTCCCCTTGAGTGCTGATTATTCTTCTCTAACTCTAACCTGATGCCGACCATTAGTTGACAAGATTTGTATGCGTAGGCTCTCGGTGTCCACAAGCTTGAACATCCTAAAACTTCCTTTCGTTTAACTTCCCTCTGCAGGGACCTCTGAAAGGGCGTCAGGTGGAGGGTGTTCCATACGAAGACATTTCCAAGTTGGCCTCCATTGACCAGAGGAGCTGATGGAACCAGCGAGGAACATCTCTTGAGATGGCTGCAGGTTAACAAGTCCAGTATGCTAAACTCAAGAGTTGAACCGTCAACTTCAAGGAGCAAACAAGATTTCTGATGGATGCCTTATAAATACAGTACATTGGATCCTCTATTTACGCCCTTTGTATCTCAACCAGGGGCAATTTCATAATTTTGATTAGATTGGTTCATCTGCAGAACAGTATCGGCCATCTACAGTCCTGTCAGAGACCTTCTTGTAATTTATGTCTCCTGCAGAAATGGAAAACACCTGTAGTTGGAATCCTCTTCTACCCATAGAGCTAAGTTAAAACATGGTGTTAAAACTTCAGGGGGTGCCAGCAACGAGTTTTGCTTCCCCACACACAACCTGATACAAACATAGTCCTCCATTCCTTTGGGTTGGGAGAGACCAGCAATAGGATATCTACCACCCCATAAAAAGCATAACCTTTGTAAATGGCCAGATTTTTTTTACAAAAGTCATCAAAACTTATAAGACATTGATGGTCGTGGGCCAACCTTGTGGGGAAAAAAATGTACCAATTCTGATCTAACTCATGGATTCTGACGGAATCAGAGGATCGTCAAAGAGCCTCCAATTTTTCATATTTTTTTTTTTCAGACCCTCCTTGTAGAAGAAGCTATCCTTTGCTTCTTGTAGGACGTTTTATCAGATTTGAGGAAGAGTTCTTCTGAATGGCCCAAAGACCTGATCTTGCAGTTAGGTGGACCTTCTGAATTCAGCTGCATCCCGGGACCCATTTTTGCATTGCGCTGTTTAGCGATGTGGAAATATTTGGAGAATTGGCAGCAATCGCTCTATGCTTGGAAATCCAGTTTTCTTGATCTGGGCTTTCACTGTACCATAACTGGCTCTTTGGACCCCAGCAGGAGCGTCCGTCAATGTTTTTTTTTTAAAAATTGTATAATGATTTTGTACAGAAGAGAGAAGATGGAAGTTATTTTATTGGTGCAAGTGTTTCTTTTTAACCATTGTGCGTTACCCAAAGTAAATTGGACTTTGAGGCCCTTCGGTTGGCTCATAGCTTTATTTTAGAATAAAATGGCTTCTGAACTTGAGCGTTAAACTATATTCCCTTGAAGTGGTGAATTCGCAGGATGGGCTCTTCAAATTAAATTCAGAAGAGCAGATCGCACCGAGATCCAGGGTGATGACCTGCTGCTTGTCACAATCCACGCCTTGCCTAAAGCAGGGGTCCCCAACCCCAGGTCCATGGACCAGCACTAGGCCGTAGCACGGTGGAAACTGGACCGCACAAACAAATGAAGCCCCATCCACGGGATGCAGGCGGCATGCGAAATCACGCTTCTTCCAGTCCGGGAAAAAGCCTTTCTCCACGGAATCGGTCCCTGGTGCCCAAGAGATTAGGGGGGCCCTGACCCAAAATTATAAGTGTGAGCAAATTGGGGCTGATCTGTATTTATGGCCCAACACTGAACCCCTTGTTTATTGCCATCCAAGCTGTCTTCTTAACAAGTTTAAGTGGTCCAGTTACAAACTTAGCATATGTATTCACACAAGGTGCTAAGCTTTGTTCCAAGCTGGACTAGCTTTCTCGTCCATCGTGGGATGAAAATGGTTAGTTCATGGTTCGCTGCATCGCTCAAACCCAGAAAGCGGTTTTATTCAGGCAGGTTAAGGGAGTTGTGGGAAGGCAGCAGCCCCCCTTTTTTCTTCTGATAGGCAGTGCAGCGATTGGGGGAATCTATAGGACTATTTCAGAGGAAGGCAACCTTGGCTTTTTTATGACTCGTGGACTTCAACTCCCAGAATTCCTGAGCCAGCCATGCTGAGGGGAAAGGGAGAGGTTTCCAAGCTGAGCCACGCTGGCTCAGGAATTCTGGGAGTTGAAGTCCACGAGTCATAAAAGAGCCAAGGTTGCCTACCCCTGGTCTAGGAGGCTCACTGCTTAGAACAGGAGGACTTAGGCCAGGGGTAGGCAACCTTGGCTCTTTTATGACTCGTGGACTTCAACTCCCAGAATTCCTGAGCCAGCCAAGCTGAGGGGAAAGGGAGAGGTTTCCAAGCTGAGCCATGCTGGCTCAGGAATTCTGGGAGTTGAAGTCCACGAGTCATGAGGGGGGCCATAGTTCCCTCATGCTGGCTCAGGAATTCTGGGAGTTGAAGTCCATGAGTCTTAAATTAGCTAAGGTTGAGGAGCCCTGATATAGGGCAGGGGTGGGGAACCCTGGCTCTTTTATGACTCGTGGACTTCAACTCCCAGAATTCCTGAGCCAGCCATGCTGAGGGGAAAGGGAGAAGTTTCTGAGCTGAGCCATGTTGGCTCAGGAATTCTGGGAGTTGGAGTCCATGAGTCATAAAAGAGCCAAGGTTGCTTACCCCTGGTCTAGGAGGCTCACTGCTTAGAACAAGAGGACTTAGGCCAGGGGTAGGCAACCTTGGCTCTTTTATGACTCGTGGACTTCAACTCCCAGAATTCCTGAGCCAGCCAAGCTGAGGGGAAAGGGAGAGGTTTCCATGCTGAGCCATGCTGGCTCAGGAATTCTGGGAGTTGAAGTCCACTAGTCATGAGGGGGGCCATAGTTCCCTCATGCTGGCTCAGGAATTCTGGGAGTTGAAGTCCACCAGTCATAAAAGAGCCAAGGTTGCCTAACCTTGGACTATTTCATTGCAAGTTCAATCTACAGAAAGCACAGAGGGATTACATGGCTAGAGATTTCTTTCAGGGAAGGAAGAGGCGTTGTGGGAAAAGAGCAGGACCTGTAGTTCTTAAACAAGTGCAGCTAGTCCTTGATTTACAACCATATCTGATCCCAGAATTATGGCCATAAGGCATAGTCATTAAATGAGTCAGCATATCATCATCTTTCTGGAAGCCATTGCGCGAATGCTGCAGTCGTTAAATGAATCCCGTTTATCCAATGAGTGTTTTTTGCAGGCAACTAGAAGCAAGTTGCTTCTAAATTTGGGAAACCGTTTTAAAAAAAAAAGGAAAAAAAATGCAGTCATGTGACTATGGGATGCCACAAACTCGCAGTTGCCGAGTGCCCAAAAATGAGATCATATGACCCACGGGAGGTGCAACTTCAAACTTAGGTCTTAAGTATCTTTTGAGAGGTCTGCTGTAACTTCCAACCATGTCCAAGTGACCAGTCGTAAATCAAGGACTACCTGTATTCTCTTAAGGACGTGTTTAAATTTTGGCTAAATCTGTCATTTAAATTTGACCAATAGGTGGCAAGCCTTTCTGCCTCAATTCCAACAATGCTTGTTTAAGGCAGGGGTGTCCAACCTGGACAACTTTTAAGACCTGTGGACTTCAATTCCCAGAATCCTCCAGCCTGCCACGCGGGCTGGGGAATTCTGGGAGTTGAAGTCCCCAGGTTTTAAAAGTTTCCAAGATGGGCTACTCCCATCATAAAGGCCTTGTTTGAAAACTTCTTAGGGACATTAGACAAATCAAACAGAATGCAGGATCCACCAGAGAGTTTTCTACTTTAATTCCATTTGGATACACGATCTTTATACAGTCTGGGGGGGGGGGGAATAATAACCACCTTTTCTACATTTTTCCAGCACCCTTCGGTTACATTTTGCTTTCAAATGCAACTTTGCTCAAAAGTCGAATGTTTGGTTTGCATTCTACACAAGCAGTCCCAATGTCCAAATATCCCTGGGGAGGGTAATTTCAGGGTAGGGGGGGATGTGGGCGGCGTTAAGATGGAGCAGGCCGTGATGAAACTCTTCCCAAAGGCTGTTGTTGCCCGTGTGAATTGCTACAAGGTGAGTTGGGTGGCCGTTTGGACCGTTTCTTCGCCTGCTTTCAAGCCGAGCATTCAGAAGCGCTTCAGGTAGCTGTATAAATTAGGGACAAGGTAATCTCTGTAATGGCCATCGAGGAACCCTTTGCCGCTGTTGTGTACAAACCAGCACTGGACGTTGGTCCCAAAGGCACGGTCCAAGCGATAATCCTTCTGCAGGCCTCTGCAGGCAAACGCAAGCAGGCATAAATCATTATTGTGTAATTCAGGCTTGACCTAAAAGCTTCTCGACCTTGGCAACTTTTAACATGTATGGACTTCCAACTCCCAGAAAACTTGCCAAGGTGGAGAAAGACTGCTCTACAGTCACCTGGAAGGGCTGACATTAGGCCACAAGCTATCAGCAACTGATTTTCATTCTTTTCCCTCAAATATAGCTAGCCTAGAAGCTTCCATGTGTCTAACTGCTGCCAGTTGGAACTGTTTTTGAAATATCTTGAAGAGAACCAGTTGGGTCTAGAGCAGTGGTTCTCAACCTGTGGGTCGGGACCCCATTTGGGGTCAAACGACCATTTCACGGGGGTCTCCAAACAACACAGTCTGCCATTCCCCCCCCCCCCTTTTCCTTAGCTGTGCTACTCCCTTTTATTCTATTGGCTTTTGAAAGCCAATAGAATAGACTCTCTTGAATAGAATCTAATTCTATTGGCTTTCAAAAGCCAATAAGAATTGTCCAGGCTGTCTCTGCCCTGCTGAGCCCGCCAAAAGTCCCATTCTGCAAACGGTGCTGCACCAGTTGAGCAGTCCTCGACTTACGACCGGTTGAGTAGTCCTCGACTTACGACCGGTTGGGGTCGCGGCATTAAAAATGTTGAGAACCACTGGCTTAAAGGCACCAGGCTAGAAAATATGGGACCATGAGTTCTAATCCAGTCTTAGGCACAAAAGCCAACTGGGTGACTTGGGGCCAATTATCAGGAGATGGTGAGTTCTAGTCCCGCCTTAGGCATGAAAGCTATCTGGGCGATTTTGACCAATCACCAGGAAACTGAGTTCTAGTCCCACTTTAGGCATGAAAGCCAGCTGGGTGACTTTAACCAATCACCAGGAAACTGAGTTCTAGTCCCGCCTTATACATGAACGCTGTCTGGATGATGTTGACCAATCACCAGGAGACTGTGAGTTCTAGTCCCGCTTTAGGCATGAAAGCCGTCTGGGTGACTTTGACCAATCACCAGGAAACTGTGAGTTGTAGTCCCACCTTAACACATGAAAGCTAGCTGAATGCCCTTGGGCCAGTCACTCTCTCTCAGCTGTATTCACCGTGCAGGGTTATTATGGGATAATAGGAGGGGGAAGGAGTATTAGGTATGCTTGCCACCTTGAGAGATTTGTCAAAATAATAAAGGCAGGCTAGAAATAAATAAATTATAAAATCCATTATGATTTCAAGGACTGTCCATGATCAGCTTCTGCTAAACTCTTTCACAGTTTACCAACACACACACAAACACACAAGCAGCATTTGGAGGGCCTGTCCTTTAAGTGCCTCAGATGTCCTACCGGGTGACCGTAAGCTTGTGGCCTTTCACTTCCATGGTAGCATCAGATTTCCCGGGATCTTGTCCTGGTCTTTCGTTGTAGATGACCACATCCGGTTCCTGCATGAACTGACCTGGGGAAGAATTTTGTAAGTGTTGGTGAAACGTTTAGCTGAGATGTTAACTGTCTTCAAACTGGGTTCATCCTGAAGAGTCTGTTAGAAGATCTAAGCTATGCTAGACACCCAACCCTGAAGCCCTGCTGCTTATTATGCATACCTGACTTAGTAGTTCTTGACTTACAACAGTTCATTTTGTGACCGTTCAAAGTTACCACGGCACTCAAAAAACCAGTAACTTACAACCATTTTTTTCACAGTTACGGCCTTTGTGGCCTCCCCATAACCAGGTGATCAAAATTTAGGCTCTTGGCAACAGACTCATATTTATGACGGTCGCAGTGCACCGGGGTCACGTGACCCTCTGACACGACAAGTCAATGGGAGAAGCCAGATTCACTTAACAACCGGTTTACTAATTTTATCAACTGCTGCGATTCCCTTAACAAGTGTCGCAAGAAAGGTGGTAAAATGAGGCAAAACTCACTAAATGTCTCACTTAACAACAGAAATTTGGGGCTGAATTGTGTGTGGGGGGGGGGAAGTCAAGAATTACCGGTACCGCAAGAATCTTCCAGTCTATCTTAAAATCTATTTCATTGTGATTAAGCTTTGATTGGGTTTTTTTGATCAGATCCATTGAGAAAAATCCTAAAAGAAGAAGAATGTATACAGGAGCCCTCAATAGACATCTAGATCAGGGCTTTTTAACCTTTTCACCCATTGTAACACTTTTAGGATAGGGCAACATCCGAGTACCATCCGTCGCCTAACAAGATTTCAAAAACTTGATGACCAAAAAAAAAAAAAAAAGGAAAAAAGTGATAAAGTGCAGGTAGTCCTCGACTTACAACAGTTCGCTTAGTGACTGTTCGAAGTTACAATGGCACTGAAAAAAGTGCCCCCCAAGCCACAGCCTAGCAAGACACCTGCCTGCCCGCCCGGCTGCGCTCTTCTTCCTGTCCGAGGTTTTTATTGTTGTGAGCATTTCTGTTGAGGATTCACAGTGGGGGTGGGGTGGGGGGTGTTTGGTTTTCATTCCCCCCCCCCATCTGCTCGGTGGTTGTAGCAGGTTTTGGTCACTTCACATGACCCTGGGACACTGTGACCGTCATAAATATGAATCAGTTGCCCAGCATCTGAATGTAAATCACAAGACCCTGGAGAGGCTGCAACATTCCAGCTGATCGGCGCTTCTTCTGGGCTCAGCGGAAGTGCCAGGATCAGCGCTGAGCTCCAGCTGGAGCCTGGCGCTTCTGCTGAGCCCAGAAGAAGCGCCGATCAGCTGGAATGTTGCAGCATCTCCAGGGTCTGGTGATTGACATTCAGATGCTTGGCAACTGATTCATATTTATGACGGTCACAGTGTCCCAGGGTCATGTGAAGCCTGACAGCCCCAAAGAAGTGCTGATCCTGGGGCTTCCGCTGAGCCCTGACAGCCCTGCAGCTCCAGCCGTCTCTCATTCAGGCTTGTGCGGTGCTGCCACTGGTTCAGCTCATTCCCCTCCCCCGCTACCATTTTTCTAGGATGCTCACGTACCACCTGCCAGGTGCCAATGTACCACAGGTGGTACCCGTACCATTGGTTGAAAAGCCCTGATCTAGATAACAACCGCAAAAAAGCATGTGTCCCAAAAGCATGGGTTTATCAGTGGGCCTGGGGATCACATAGCCCATCACGTGGTTCGTTTGAATGTTGTCGCCAGGGAGGGGGGTTGTTACGGAGTGTTATATTTCGGGTTTTACTTCGGTAAGCTGTCCGAAATCCCCGTGAGTGGAGAGGGTGGGCGGACACATAATTTTTTTTTTCAATCAATCAAATACAGATAGTCCCCCACTGACGACTTCCATTGAGCCCAATTGAGCAGCTGCTCAGTGAGTTGCGCCTCATTCTACAACCATTCTTGTCACCATTGTTAAGCGAATCACTCTAGTTGTTCGTCAGGCATTTGCTAAGTGTTGGAAGCTGGCTGGGAAGGTTACAATGGGTGGTTGCTTGACCCCAGGACTGTGCAACGGTCATAAATACATGTCAGTTGCCCAGTGCCCGAATTTGGATCGCGTGACCATGGGGATGCTGCAACAGTGGTAAGGGTGAAAAATGGCCAAAGTCACTTTTTTTCAGTGCCATTGTAACTTGAAATGGTCACTAAATGAATGGTCGTAAGTTGAGGACCATTTGTAAGTAGAAATAACTGTACACAGGCGTTGCATCCCAAAGATGCTTTTTCAGGAGGCAACTGGACTTTCTTGTTTTTCCTTGAAGACGTTTCGCTTCTCATCCAAGAAGCTTCTTCAGCTCTGACTGGATGGTGGGGGAAATGGAAGGATTTATCCTCCTTGCAGACAGCTGGTCATTTGTATTTTTAGAGTGTCGTTGAGGCCACCTGGAGGTTTACCTGTGTCCTCAGGGTCACCTGAGTGGTGCAACTGGGTATGGAGCCATCTTGGAACTGCTGAAAGGACAGCGTCTACCGCCCTGAGGACACAGACAAATCTCCAAGTGGTCTCAATGACCCTCTAAAGAAGGCAAATGACCAGCTGTCTACAAGGAGGATAAATCCTTCCATTTCCCCCACCATCCAGTCAGAGCCAAAGAAGCTTCTGGGATGAGAAGCAAAACGTCTTCAAAAAAAAACAAGAAAGTCCAGTTGCCTTCTGAAAAAATCCACCTTTGAGATAACCATGACCTGGAGGACTTAGAATCACCATAGACGATTCTGTTCTGGGCAAGAGTAGAACTCACTCCTTCATCCCCATCTTTAAAGTAACCAACCGTCCTCCTTTAGGGAGGAGAGTCTCCTTTTGTAAGTTCTGTCCTCCCTCAAAAAGTGTCCTCCTTCATGTCCTCCTTTTCGATATTTGAAGACTAATCTGCAGGGCTTTTTTCTCTCTCATAGAACGCTCAGAACGGTGTTCTGGCACCTTTTTTTGATGGTTTTTTTTTCAACTTTTGCATGAGGTGTGCTACCCCCCCTATTGGCTTTCGAAAGCCAATAGGAATTGCTGCTGAGCGCACCAAAACACCCGGCTGGCAAACTTTGCACATGTAAGTTGTTTGCAACAAAGGTGAATTGGCAGGAACTTTGCACCCCTCCCTGCTACTCAACTACACCATCTCCTAGTTAGTCCAGAAGATACCTGGAGGAGACTGGAGCGGTAAGTTTCTCTTGATCTTCAGCTCTGCTAGGGCAATAATGGCTGCGGGCGCAAGAGGCAGGGGCGGTGGGGGTGCTGCGGGCGGGGGTGTGAGGGGTGGCAGCGGCCGGCTGCCCCCCGTGCTGTGGGAGCTACGGGGCCCTCTCTACATGGGGCTGCGCAGGGTGGGCGCTGATGCTGGCGGGGCGGCTGCAGGCAGGGTGTGTCGATGGCGGGCTGCCCCCCAGGGCCAGAGCCAACACAGCTGGTGCTATGGGAGCCGCGGGGCCCGCTCTACACGGCAGAGCAGCGGTCCTGGAGGGGTGGCTGCGGGCGGGGCGCGGCGGGCAGTTGACCTTCCATGGGCCGAGCCAGCTTTTATGATATTTTTTTCTTCAATTTATTTGTGTCCTCCTTTTCATTGTAAAAAAGTTGGTCACCCTACCATCTTCCCTGTTTTAAGAAATGCTTTCCAGTTTGCTCAGTTCCTCCTGGCTGTCATGCAGCCCTAAGTACCCGGAGCTACGAAACCGCTTCCCACGCCCAGCCTTTACCGATGAGGCCATGGACGCCGGAGGAGAAATTATTTGCCAGAGGGATGTAGATGCCCAGGAAATCCACATTGACTGGGTGCTTTTTCCAAACCCGATGGAGCAGGACCATAAAGGTCAGATCCCCGTCTACAGTGAGAGTCACGTTGCTCTCTTTCTGG